TCATTTCAGTAATGCGTATAATAAATTCTTATAATTATTATATTATAAAATTGCATAAGAAAAATAAAAAAATGCTTAATTGCAAAAGCTGCACAACAAATTCCAAACAATAAAATAACGTTGTGTTCTCATATTTCACAGAAAATCAAATAAATTATGGAAACTTTTCAGGTACAAAACGGGTACGAAATCTTTGTAAATGTGAGCCACATCTGTTTCTTAAAAGTTTCGAAAAATTTGTGACACTAAGATCTTTATTGTTATAGCTTATGTAGTGAAACCATATTTTGGTAAAATGTTTCAAAACAAAAAGCGATTTATGTTACAAAACATATGTATCAAAAATATGTCGAATTAATTCCAGAACTTTTGTGTCTTGACCCAAATACCATCATTGTTTCGAAACTGCTTCGCAATATTTCTCCGCAGAGATTTTGTTTCGATTTTGTGTCTAAAAATTTTACTTGGGTTGTCAAAGACCTGAGACTGTATGATGAGTTTTATTTTAAGAAAGGGGACATAATAGGATCTATAAGATGGTAGTGAATAACTTTTCCCACTCCCATATAATCTACAACTTACTTTTAATATACCAAATTTAGCGGTGTACATTTTTGAGAAGCATCAAAATATACGTGATTTTTTTTTTTCGTGGGGGAAAAATCTGCAAACCAGAGACCGTAAGTGGTACTGTCGGGGTGGCTGAGGTACCTTACCGACTAAAAAACCTCCACAAACCGCTTTGAGTATCTCCCCAAGGAACTACCTTTCGGCATTACTTCTGGGGGAGGCAGTTTTATTGTGATGTTGCAGGTAATTGAGCACTTTAGTCAAAGTTGCACACTAGCGAGTGTGGTAAGTACAAAGCAGTACTAGAGCAGTATGGTAAGTACACTCAAATTATTCTTTTTTTTTTACTTTCCAAACCTTTTGGCTTCGTTTTCCTTTGCAGATATCAGCGCCTCCATATATTCCCGGACTGCTTTCCAGTTCTCATTTGACTTAAGAATCGTTGGAACCAAGTTAGTGTAAGTTAGTTTCTCTGTATTTAGACTCTCCATTAATTTATTTCTTTCATAGGTCCACCTTTTGCACTGCAGGATTGTGTGCTCTGCTGTGTCGTTATCGTGGTCACCGTAGATGCATTTTGGACTCTCGGTAAGTTTCATTTTATATAAATAATTCTTGAAGCATCCGTGTCCTGATAAACATTGTGTCATAGCGTAGGTAACTTCTCCATGGCTCCGGTCTATCCAGTTTCTTATATGTGGTATAAGTTGTCTTGTCCACTGCGCTTTCCCGTCTACATTGTGTTTCCATCTGTCGCTCCATGTGTTCAGTATTTTTTCCCGGTTATACTCTCGCGATCTATCCGGACACGCCTTTCTCTGCATCCTCTCTTGTATTAGAAGATCTATCGGTATCATGCAACTAATTACTTCTGCCGCATCTGCTGATATAGTGCGGTACCCTCGACATATTCGCAGCGCCAATCGCCTTTGAACTGCCTCAACCATTCCCTATTCTTCTTCACTTCAACGGCCCTTCCCCAGACCTCGGAAGCATACAGAATGGTAGACGTCTGAACGGCGGCCAACGTTCTGCGCTTGGTTTCCCCCATAATGGACCAGTTCGGCATAAGTTTTGTTAGCAGTATACATTGCCTCTCTGCCTTCGCTGCAACCGTGCGTATGTGCTGAGTAAAGTTACCTCCAGCCTGAAACGTTACTCCAAGGTATTTTACTGTGCTTTTAAGCACAATGACTTTGTCCTTTACTAAAATGCCTCGGCCTGACAATTTGCGGCCTCCTACGAGTGCAACACATTCTGTTTTTTGAGGGGCAATTTCCAATCCCACCTCCTCCATCCAGGAACATACCTGGGACGTTGCCTGTTCTGCTATCGCAATTATTTCCTCCGCGCTTCTAGTCCTAATAATTAAAGCAATGTCATCAGCGTAGGCCAGTACTTCAGTTCCATAGGGGAATTGAAGCCTGAGAAGTCCGTCATAGAGAATATTCCAGAGAAGCGGACCTAGTATGGATCCCTGGGGCACGCCTTTTGTCATTTCCATGGCACAGTCTGCCACCAGAATCGATCGATCACTTAAATAACTCTTGATGCCTTCAATTAAATACTGACTAACATTCCAATATGACGTGAGTTCATTTATTATTACTTTCCAGGATGCTGTGTTGAAAGCATTTTTAACATCTAATGTTATAAGCAGCATCATGTCCCTGTTTGTCAAGCTAATGTCCTTCAGATTTTTAATCATTTTTGTAACCTTACTAAGTGGATCTACTGTACTCATTCCTTTTCTAAAACCAAACTGTCTCTTATTCAAACCTCCTTTTTGTTCTATTTCTTCTTCCAATTTTGTCTTTAGGGTCATTTCCAGAAGTTTACCCATAGAATCCAATAAGCATATAGGTCGGTATGAAGATTTATCAGCTTCCTTTTTTGGCTTTTCCACAAGTACTAATTGTGCACATTTCCATATTTGTGGGAAGTTAGCAGCCTTGATGAGGTCATTAAAGAGGTTGGAGATAATTTTGGGTTGTTCCTCGGCCAAGATTTGGACAACCTCGACCGGTATGCCATCCGGTCCCGGTGCCTTGCCTCGTTTAAGATTTCGTGCTGAATTTTGTATGTCTTCATCAGTAATTAGGGGGAAGTGATCATAATGTACCTTGGTCCATTTAATACTCTCGCTTTTGGGAAACAACCTCTGCGCTTCTTGCAGCTGCGTCTTTTTATGAATCGCACGTCTGACCTTTATTTTCTTGGTTACGATCTTGTATGCCTGTCCCCAGATGTCCTCTTCCAAATTGTCTAACATGTCTCTCCATAACTGCTCTTTTGATTTTAGAATCTTCTTCTTAAGGGTACTGCGCGCTATACGGTACTCTGTTTCGGCTTCATTTGAATTCGTCTGGGATAATTCATTTCTGTGCGATCTGGTAAGAGTTCTTCTAGCTCTCAGACATTGTTTTCGGGCGTCCGCTATATCGCTATTCCACCAGTATGCTGGTTTTCTATTATATTTTGAAGATTTATTTTCTAAAGTTTCTCGACATACTTTTTGCACACATTTAATGAGTTCCTCTCCTCCAACATTTTTATAGGTTGGTATGTTGTTTCTTATTGAACGCTTTACCTTCTCCTCTTTGTCTATACTCTGTTTTTTTTCTCAGGTAAGATTTCGACAGCCGATGACAGAAGAAAAACAGATGACGTCCCATACCAATCTATTTATTTTACTAAAAAAAGTTTCTAATAATTTTTAAGTTAACTATGGATGGGTTTAAATATAAATTCGTCATGCGTCGTCACTTGTTGTTTTTTAACCAGTTTTATTGCTGTTTATTTCAAAATGACAGATCGTATTTCAATTTTATTGGTCTGACGGAACGATAAACGACAAACGGACGCGGATGCGTATGAACTCGCCTTTAGATTTTTGACGTTTGTCAAAATCTTGCCAAATTATAGGTTATAATTTTGTGACAACTTTTGACAAATACCCTGCGGTTTGGAAGATGATGCATTTTGATTCGTGTTATTACGTGTTTTGTGTCTTTTGAAGTCAAGTGGAGGAAAAATCGAGTGAAAATTAACTGTAGAACCCAGAGCACAGTTTATGGTTAATACTCGCTGCCCAGGCAGAAAGTCTTATACAGATACACCAACAAAGTTACTATCAATAAAGTTCGTATACCATCTCGTCGTAGATAAGTGCATCTCGAATATGGTAAAAGGACCATACTAAAAATGGAGTAGCTGTAAAATATCGACATCACACGATAGGTAAATAATGGATTTTAGTACTGCAGAAAAATAATGTCAAAAGGTACTGGTTTAAAAAATTAAGATTAAAGTTAATTAATCAACCTGTGAGGCATAAAATTTGGTAAGTGTTATTATTAATAAAATAGTTTGTTTTATTTATGTTGTTTTATTTATTCCTGCGGAATATTACAAATTTGTATTTGTACATTAGTTATATCGATAAATATAATCATAAATGCGGGAAGTTTCATAAAGCTTGAAAGTAAGAAATAGTTCTTTTTTATATTTTTTGGTATGTGGTGTCTTATTCTTTTTGTTTGTTTTGTATTAACACATACCGTTTTTTTTAAATAAAATAACTCGATTACATTTTTTCAATTTTATACAGTTTTTTTCACAATATTTTGAAGTTACTTGTCAAAATCAATTACTTGTTAAAGTCAAATTTTAAATATATATATTAATTTCCTGCTATGCGTTCCAGTTGTACCAACTTATTTCTTTGTAAAATAAAATAAACTACTTTGAAATTAAAATGACAGACACATCTATCACTGTCAAGGATCTTCTCGTTGGACAGACTATAGCTTAAAATTCCAGCGCGTTTTCAGAATATCTCCCCTCTCCTTCCCATCATTAATCCCAAATTCGAACTTTATTGTTCGATGGTCGGAAAGATTTTCCTCAGTCAAAACGCGCCAATTTCTCATCAGTACCATTGCTCTTGTCGTACCAAAGGTAACATCAAGATGTGATCTGCTGTTTCTTCGCACAAAAGTTGGTTCATCTCCATTATTTGCTACTAACAGGTCATTTTGAGCCAGCTAATCTGCAACGAGCCGTCCCCTGGCGTCTTCTTTTGTAGATCCCCATAGAGGAGATTTAGAATTAAGGTCGCCGACAACTATTGTTGGTTTACTTCTACACACGTATTTTTCTACATCTAATAAAACCTTATCTAAGTATCTTAATTCTACATTTGGTGACACGTAACACACAATAACAATACAGGTCTGAAACTCAACACACACAAAGTCATTCCCCGTTGCTGCTTTATCACAGCAGTACTATCATATATATTTCGGATTATCACAGCAGTATTTAAGTTACGATCACAGATATACTCCTTTTCTCTGACTAGCGATTTATTTGGGTCAGTGCCGCCCTACTTCGATTTACATTTAACTGGGCAAATTTTAGCAGCATTTTTAAGGTTGTTTTTGCTCTTTTCTAATATCCTCTACCATTTTTTTGTAAGCGGGACACGCCATCGTCCCTGCTGTATGTCCTTCTTTGTCACACTGATAACAGTTAGGTAGATTTTGGCATTCTACTGCTCTGTGCCCCTCTTCGCAACATCTGATACATTTGGTTTTCATGTGATCGGTGTTAACACACTTATCAGCAAAATGTCCAAAATCGTAACATCGATAGCATTTTGGTGGTGTCAAAAGCTCCATTACCTTACAACTTGTCCACCCAATTTTAATTTGTCCTGATGTCAACATCTCTAGTGCGGGCGCTTCCGCTAGCGTAACTATGGCTGTTCTTTTGTATCTCCTTCTTTTGTCTACCAATAGTTTAATTTCAAACGAAGTCGTTTTTGTAATTTCTTGTATAGCTGACTTTATATCTTCTTCTGTGTTAATAATATCAATACGTCTAACAATGAGAGTTTTCTTTTTTCTGGCCGTTTCAACCGTTCCTTGTTCGCCCAAATTATTGGCAACAGCCTGTCGGAATTTGTTATCACCCTCTTCTTCTTTTGATCTAAGCTTTATTGTTAGTGCACCACGATTAATATTGATTCGTTGAACTTGTACACCCATATCATCTAGATTAATGTTCTGTTGCATTTTTCTAGCAGTTTCTTCTAGTGTCGTTTGCTCATTATTCAGTTTGATTTTTATTATTTCAGATTTTCTTTGTCGGGGCTGTCTCTATTCTTTCGTATTATTCTTGGTCGAGGTGTCCCCTTTCGAAGTTGTTTCTTCTGTATCAGGCTTTCTTTGTCCCTTAATGTAAGGTAAGTAATAAATATTAGCATTTATTTCGTGTCTGTATACGTATTCTAAAATTTTCCGAGTAATACTTGCATGCTCGGTCCCATCTATCACATAGCATAAGTTAGACAAATCTCTATTTTCACATATTTGCTTTGTTTTTTCAATCCCTTTGGTTAACTGTACTACGAAGTCTTCCATGGTGCTTTTTTTGTTTATGCCTATTGCAAATGTGTGCTTTTCTTCCTCTTCTGTTAAAGCTGAATCCGTTTCTAAACTGGATTTCTTGATATTTATCAAGATATTTCCTGCTTGTAAATGTCCATTTTCTATTGCACTCCTTAGCTGGGGTTGCAAAATTCTACCTAGTCTTTTGCTGTCACTTTTTTCTAATGTAGTGTGTACAATTACGGCAGTACTCTGATCTTTTAGTTGATTTGCCTCTAGAGGCCTGGTATTTATGAGAGACGATTCTGGCCAATCTTTTTTAATGAATGTTACTAAATCTTCCAAATCACTACACCTGCTTAATTCTTTCCTTATATCTTCTGCCTGCTCTATTTTACTCCACCCCTGTCATTTACTGGTGTTTTTGTAGAGGATTCCGTCATATTTTTCTATGTAGGCCTTGCAGTCTGTAGGTGACTACTTCGATGTATGCCTTCAAGCATTTCTTTCATACTCGTGGTTGACATCTGAGTGACGATGCTTCTTAGTTCTAGTGCTTTTGTCTTAACTGAACGTTTAGTGGTTGCGTTATCAGTAACCTCCTTGCCAAGTGCATTGGATACTAATTCTAAAGATTCCATGAGCCTCTTGAACTTGTTATACAGCCTTTCCTTTTCTTTCTCTATATTATCACTTTCTGATAAGTTATTTGTATCAAACACTTCATTTTCTAATTTTCTTTTCTTTGTTATAGATTTACCAGAGGTATCATCCCAGGTCATGTCTATTTGACTGTTGTTTAGTGATCGTCTGGTAGCCGGAGAATCGAATATGTTTCCCCATACAGATACTGGCGATTTACTAAGTATAGTTTTGCCTCTTTCAGTTCTGGGTGTTCCAGTAGCATTTTCCATTATCTGGGCCTGGTTCCCTACCTCAGATAAATAGCAGTCGCTGGATGACGGTCGGGTGGGGCCTGCTACGTCACCCACAACACCGACCGGCACTGGAGTATCCCTCTCCTGCACAGTAAACGAATAACTATTTTTGTTACTAGCCATGAGTTAAATTATCTTTTTCGTCTCTATATTGCAGCCGCCTCCACAGGAGAAACAGACGCTGACCTTCATGCCGCCCACTATGAGACAGACGCGTGAAGGGTTTTTTATATAGATTTATACCATCATTGTTTCGAAACTGCTTCGCAATATTTCTCAGCAGAGATTTTGTTTCGATTTTGTCTAAAAATTTTACTTGGGTTGTCAAAGACCTGAGACTGTATGATGAGTTTTATTTTAAGAAAGGGGGACATACGGGGGATCTATAAGATGGTAGTGAATAACTTTACCCACCATGGTCAGGTCCTCACAATAGGAATTGACCTCAAATCCAAGGAGGCAATAGAGAAAGAAGGATATAACCTCTATTATAGATTCGGGACGGTACCGGTATCAGGTCCAAGAAAAGAACAAGCTAAAGAGGGGGAGAAAATGGAGACAAATACTCCAGCCTCCAACTCACAAGTACCTCAGCCGGAGACAAGCTCCTCGACTGTGAAGGACACGGATGGCGTAACTCCAACCGTGAAAGGGTGTATATCCTCGGAGGAGGTTGATGACCACTCCTCGGAGGAGGAACATCTGTTGCCAGGGGGGGATGGGAAATACCCTGTCCTCCCTACAACAGGGGGATCCTTACCTACCCCAGAAACCTGATGCATGGGATATCCCAAATAAACCTGCACCATGCAAAAGGGTCTTCCGCCACAATCACAAGACTCTTTGAGAAAAACCAATATGTAATGGTACTAGCCCAGGAACCCTGGGTGTACCAGGGACAAATTAAAGGGTTGTCTGGAAAAAATTCCAGTGTAATATATGATAACAGGCAGGAATTTCCCCGAGCCTGTATTCTTATAAGAAACAACATTAACTACACATGTGTTTCAGAATTTACAACCCGAGATCTTGTTCCAATCATGGTTAACTTAATATCGAGGGTTGTAGCAAAAATATCGTGATTGCCTCTGCATACTTTCCGGGTGATGGGCAGACACCGCCTCCGGAAATAGAGGAGCTCGTGCGATTCTGCAGCCAACGGCGACTACCTCTGCTATTGGGATGTGACTCCAATACGCACAATGAGGTATGGGGAAGCACTAATACTAACACTAGAGGTGAGTGTTTACTAGAATTCCTCTTAGCATACAATGTTGAAGTTCTCAATATAGGGAACACCCCCACGTTTGTGACAAAAACGCGGGCGGAAGTATTAAATTTAACAATCGGGAGTGCTAGTGTAACTAGTTACGTGAAAGATTGGAGGGTTTCAACGGAACCTTCCCTATCAGATCACAGAATCATCGAGTTCAAATTAGGAGGAATCATACTCCAAACTGAAATTCGAAGGAATCCAAGAAAAACCGATTGGGAACTATACCACACCAATCTCGTAAACAACCTGGACCAAATAGATGCAGGTAGGGCTAGGAACCACCTGTATCTAGAATGGTACGCAAAGGAAGTCAGTGGTGCAATATTGGATGCATATGAATCTAGTTGCCCCACAAGTAAGGGCATACAAAAAAGTAACAACAAGCCCTGGTGGAACAAAAAGCTGGCCAATCTTAGATCGGAGGTCCGACGACTCTTTAACAGAGCCAAACCCAGCGGCGAATGGCAGCTCTACGCCGAGAAATTAACTGAGTATAATAAGGAGATTAGAAGGGCAAAGCGGTCTGACTTCAGATGCTTTTGCGAAAACATCACTTCAACTACTTATGCAGCTAGGCTACAGAAAGCTATGGCCAAGAGTGGGCCCATCCCCAACATGGCACTTAAGAAAACTGACGGAAGCTACACGGAAGGAGATGAAGAGAGAGCTAACCTCCTACTTCATACACACTTCCCAGGTAGCATATCTATTGATACGCAAGTAGCTCCGACCGAACCCCACAATCCTCGCAGGGAAGACTGGGAGACGGCCAAGCTAGTAATAACAGAACAAAAACTGAAATGGGCTATTGACACCTTTCAGCCTTATAAAACAGCAGGAATAGATGGGATTTTTCCTGCCCTTCTAAAGAAGGGTCAGGAAATAGCTACACACCATCTATTAAACATTACAAGAAGCAGCTTAGCGATGGGATATATACCAACCATCTGGAGAAGAGCTAAAGTCATCTTCATACCCAAAATAGGCAAAACTGACTGGGCTAACCCCAAATCATTTAGGCCTATTAGTCTCACATCGTTCATATTAAAAACGATGGAGAAAGTAGTGGACAACCATATTAGAGTAAATCATCTACAGGTTAAACCACTGCACGATGGTCAGCATGCATATAGAGCGGGCAGATCCACAGAAACTGCTCTGTACCAGTTAACTGAGCTAATACAGGCAAGCCTGGATAGCAAAGAAACAGCACTTTGTGCCTTCTTGGACATTGCAGGGGCGTTTGACAATATACCTCACAAGGTGGTCAAGCGATCTCTTGAAACAAGAGGGGCGAACAGTACCATAATTCGCTGGTTTTGGGAAATGCTCTCAACACGAACAGCAGAGGCTGAGATAGGTACCAAAACTGTAGTTGTTAAAACAACGCAAGGAACTCCACAAGGTGGAGTGACCTCCCCCCTACTGTGGAGCTTGGTAGTGGATGAACTACTGGAAGAATTAACTCTAGCGGGAATACACTGCATAGGGTACGCAGATGACATAGTCATCATTGCACAGGGGAAACATGAAGGCACCCTGTGTGATATTATCCAAAGAGGATTCCGCATCGCTGAGAGATGGTGCAGGACTGTCGGGCTGAGTATTAACTCAGATAAAACCGCAGTAGTGCCATTCACCAGAAAGCGAAGTTTGAAAAACTTGAAAAGAATCCATCTAGATGGAAAGGAAATACTGCCATCACAGGAAGTGAAATATCTGGGAATAACCCTGGATAGTAAACTTCTCTGGAACAGGCATATTAAGAACATTACCAGCAAAGCCACAAAGGCTCTCATGATATGCAGAAGACTGGCGGGAAATAGGTGGGGCTGCGCCCCTAACATTTTGCGCTGGATGTATACCATGATAGTAAGACCCATGATTACTTATGGAGCAGTTGCTTGGTATACAAAACTAGAGCAACGTACAGCAAGGCAAACCCTGTGCAAAGTACAGAGACTGGCATGTATCTGCATCACAGGTGCCATGAGAACATGTCCAACAGCAGCAATGGAGGTCATTCTAGACCTAACACCACTGCATATTGTCGTCGGTAGTTATGCCAATGCGACAATGATTAGAATGGTCATTGACGGAAACAGTACTGGGAGAATTTTCAGGTCAGGGGCTTGGAACACCCTCAAAAAGAAAATTCCACTTCTCCAACTCCCAGTGGATGACATACCAAGAATTTACAACTTTGAGAAACACCTCACTGTAGTATTGAGTAATAAAAAGGATTGGAAGAAAGAAACGCTTACTCAGCATATAAAAGACCATACCATCACGTGGTATACTGATGCTTCCAAAACCAAAGCAGGGACAGGGATAGGAGTATTTGGGCCGAAAACTGAATACTCCGAACCAATGGGCACCTACCCCAGTATCCTTCAGGCAGAAATTTGCGCTATCGAAAGATGCGTACAATTTATCTTGGATAGGAACTATCGAAAACAGGAAATTGCCAT